GAGTTCTGCCGCTTGAAGTCGAATCGAATCGACCTTCACTCGATGACGTTTTGAGTTATTTAATTATATTCAACAATTTGTATTGAGCTTGAGGCCGTTTTTAATGAAAAACTTATTGTTGAAAGGCAACAACAATTTGAAAAATAGTAGAAGTGATAGCTATTTCTGAAATCACAATTTTTCAAATTGTTGTTGCCTTTCAACAATAAATTTTTCATTAAAAACGGCCTCAAGCTCAATAAATTTGTTGAATATTGGATTGTTGAATTGTTATAAGGCCATAAAATAACAAAAAACAAACAACTTAAGGATGAGCACACCTAAAAGTTTAACATTCTAATGACAGAAATATTAACGAAAACCAACAAAACCAACAACCACATGGACAAATGTGAATTGCAGTGGAATAGCTGCACTTGATTGAAGTAGGCTTAACAAATGAAAATAGTGCAAAAAGCAACAAGAATTCACAAGGCAAACTTAGCACAGTGCGTGGGCAACTGGCTGAGTCAGTGGGATCGTCGGTTCGAATCCTGCTGAAAGAAGTCTGATGAGGAAATGTGGTGATTTCCGAAATAGCTATCACTTCTACAATTTTTTCAAATTATTTTTGCCTTTCCACAATAAGTTTTCATTAAAAAACGGCCTCTAGCTCAATAAATTTTTGAGTATAGTTGTTAGAAGTTATTATTTTTGACTAGAAAGCGATACCGTACTTTTTAGTCTTACTCTCTCGCTCTGATTAAAATTTTATTCTTTACAAGTTTTAGTGATTTAAGTCCGAGGAATTCGGGATTGGACTTATTATGTGTTAGCAGGAAGTACCTCACTTTCTTTCACTGTTATATTAACCCCTTTCTGGCACGCTTTAGAGTTGATGCCAATAATGTCAATATCATATATATGTGTGATGCCACGGCTATGTTTTCAGATGAAAAATTGAAAAATTTAATTCCATTCCAAAAATTTGTGTGTTTCGTTTGTTTGTGTAAAATTTAATTTCGTACGAGTAAGAATTAATTGAAAAAGATTTGATACGAGTACATTCGTAGATACATAACTTTATTAAACATAGGCAATTTGCATTATCAATAGTACTTTATATTTAAACTCGAGGCCAGACCATTGTATACAATTAATAGGCACACCTGTCAGGTTTTGGAATACACTTTACTGCAAGCTCGTTAAAAGTAATAGCATCGCCCAAATAAAGACAATAAAGAACAAAAATGGAATACATTAAAATAAGCTAAAGTTTTACTTTAATGAAAATAAATTGCAAAAGTCTTAAATGACATTGCAGATTACATACAAATGTAGATGCATATTTGTGCATATATGTAGGTAAGCACTTGTAAAGACAATCAGGGGCACTTTATTATGTATGTATGTTAATGTATGCCTATACTTATGTACATATGTAAATGTATATTTGTACCTACATATGTATGTAAGTATGTATATGCCCACAGCGATAATCTTTTACAGCCGATCAAATTGAACTGTTACTTGCAGAATGCATAAAATCCATTTGAATTGAATTGCATTTGCCCCGTTGTGATGCTAGCTTGTTGCCGAAATTGCTTTAAATTTGCACCACGCACTGCACTCGAGGCAAATGTGGCAGCAGTGGCGGTAGCACAAACGGCGGCAAAACGTTGCAATACTAATATTGGAAATGTAGTAGTAAATAAATATGCAGTTGCCACCAGCGCTCTTTTTTAATGCAGCAAATCGTTAAACTTCTTCATTCATTCGTGGGTATACCAAAGTAAAGCTGTCCGTCGTCACTGCCGTTGCCGCCCATCAAGGAAGGTGTGGCCGAGCTGAATGTAAGCTACATACATAAGTGTATTGCGTGCGTGGTAGGAACTGGTATACAGTAGTATTTAGTGAGCAGGTAAATCGAATTTTTTTATAAGATAATGAGATTTCCATGGAAGTTTGACTATGCAGCGTAAGATTAAATTTTTGAAAGCTCAGAATAGGATTGTTATGAAGTACAATGCACATTCGCTATTCTCCTTAAAACATATTTATCCTCAATAGTAATTTATGACATCAAAAAGGTGGCAATTATTACATTTGAAACTTAGAAAAGAAATTCGCTGAGCGTTTATTTTAAAAATAAGATTTTCCTTACGGCTTGCAGTGGTGCTTTTGAAATAGGATCGTTGAGCAGATGAGCCAGCTTAACCAAGTTATCAGCTGATAATTCTTTACAAAGCTGGACTAGAAATTTATAAGTTAAAAATCAAAGAAGTTGAGAGATATTCTTGGCGAGCGTCCTTCGAAAGCATAAACATTTCGAGGGGTCTTGATCCATGGCGTTATTGTTTAAAAGACGAAGCAGGAGGCGAGCAATTAAGCAATTGGCAGCGAGAAGTCGCACATTGGAACGCGGTACCGACTTGATCGAAGTGCTGAATAAGTGTTGCCTTGTTTGGGTGATTAACAATGAGTATTTAAAGTCTTTGCAGTTAGCCAGTGCAGGCAGCTTTATACCAGTCCCGTTGCCAAATACTCTGGGGGTGTCGTTTCGGTGGCAGTGTTTTATCTTCACTACTTGTATTGTACGAGTGTTTATCCATAAGGCTCAGCGGGATATTACCAAAGGCCGGCCAAATCTTTCATACCTTTTCTTCAGAGCAATACGATTTTTTCATTCCTGCTTTAAAACCTTAGATAGGCTGATTTATCTTCATATTAGGAATTGCCTGTCAGGAGCTCAACATGCATGAATGAAGAGTTGGTCGGCCGAGGACATATTGCGCGAAGGGGATTGTGGTCGTAAACCTGGAACTAATGAACAGCGGCGGCTGGACTCGCTGCAAATCTTAGTAAGACGGGAGTCGTGTTTAATTGCTCCAACCACTCTAATCTCAATCGGAGATATTCACGCCAATCACTTGGACTTGATTCATGAAGGGAAACTGTCATGGAAACTGGGTACAGTAAATATGGCATCAGCGGTTCAAAGGACAATACCTATGAGACGGGTCCTCTCCACTAAAGTTATTTCCTGCCTCTATTAAATGATAGTGAAGCTTTAGTGAAGTCCTCATTGGATGGCCACCCTTATTGGAGCCAGCGAGATCATATAGGATGTCTCCTAACCTCATTGGAATCAATGGGGCACATAAGAACTCGGGGGGTCGGTGGATGGGAGATAGTGTTTGGAAGTAAATTTCAAATGAGTTAACTGAAGATTGATGGAATGGCTGGTATTTTGCTGTGAAGGCAGATCGAGGCAGGTGCTATTAACCCTGCTTTGACAACCTTGAGAAAATGCCTCACCTCCCTTTCGGTTGCGTTTGAGTACCGATGTCGTAGGAAATTGTGTGGCATATGATGAAAAGGTGGCCCGAGTCGCTGTATATGGACTACTCTCGGACAGATGGGCCTCCTGTGATCTCAATGAATGCTGAATGAAAACTAGGACATGTGCTTAACTGCATGGTGTTTCTAGCCGGGGGTAGACCAGGAACAAGAAATGTACAACCCTCAATTCTGGTTGGTGAATTGGCAGAAAACTGCCAGATTGGACTCCACGCGGTTATATTAAGTATCACACCGTATTCACATTGCTACAGCTGCTTGGCGTACGACGGGTGGCATCAGCTCAACACTTCCTCTTAAAATAGCCGGCTTTTGATAGACTATGGTTGAAAACCGAAAAACAATTTTTTTTCGCTTTTTGGCGACCAGTGCTTACTGAGAACTTTTCTCAGGCGGTCACTTCAATAAGCAAGCAAGGCAAGTGTTGTATGACACCTCTATATAATCTATACTACATTAACTAGATATCAAAAGACATTCAAGCCGTTGCCATTGCATCAGTTCATAAATTAAAAAAATACAAGTTTTCGTTTACGTATTTCTCATTGTACAATGTACATGCATGCATGTAAGTGAGTGTCTATGAGCAGAAAAATTTTAAGTCTTTTCCGGCCATTCAAATCTCCATTAACATACATTTAACTGCGCACACATGCACATGGGATTAGCTAAAGCGGCAATCGGTGTGAAAAAATCGAACGAAACTCCCATTACTGCTTAGAAAAATCGATCGTATGACTCATATTTTTGCAATTAATTTTTGTTTATAATTTTCACAGAAGCCAATCAGTCGCCTATTCTCATTAGAGAGCGCATTGTATGCCTAGCTCTGTGTGACAAGCGTAGCCTATTTGACCACCAGCCATCTGGAATCGCCTGCAACCTGTTACGCTGGACAAAGAGTAATATTTTAGGAAAAAAAAATTGCCTACAATTTCCATGTCACAACAACGATAAAAAAATACCCTCAATGCTGACCCATTGGTAGGCGCAACTCTTAAAATTACCAAGTCAGTATGCCACTGAGACAGAGTGACAGTGAGCCGACAATGCCGTCGACGACCAAGCAAGCCGTTGCCTCACAAAGGCGTCCACCCCGGCCTGGTCGTTGTGGCACAGCAAATGCACATGTGTTTACAATATGTGAATGTGTGTGTGTGTGTATGTGTGTGTCTGTGTGTGTTAGTCATGTCAGGCCTTTCGGGCAACTCAAGCGACTCTGATCCACATTGACTTGCAACGACTGGCAATCAGTTCAACTCGGTTCACTTCAGTTAGAAAAAAAAAAAAAGTAAAAGTGCTTTTTGTCCGTCCAGCTAGCGTCAGCTTCTGCAGCAGCTTAGGCTCTGGTTTCTGTTCAGCTATGCGTGTGCTGCATGCCTCTCAATTGCTGCAACATAACCGCCACTCTGCCGTCGCTCGACATCCCCCCCCCAATTCGTGTGCCTGCGACTAGGTGGCGGATTTAAAATATTTTGAAGTTTCTATTCCACCAAAGCAAAAAAATTGTTTGAGTGGTATAAAAGCTTTTGCACAACGCCACCAACGAATCAAACCGTTTTTCGTGTTCTTAAGCTACGATCCGTATTGCGCGCGCGTGTTGCTACCGAAATCTGTCCGTACCAAAATCGCATATAAATCTCGTTTAAAAAGCAGCAAATATGTTCAAATACGTGAGTACTCATCGCGCGTCCACATCCTCGACTTGCAGTGTTCATTCATTACGTGTGTGTGTGTGTTTTCATTTGTGTTTCCTCTTGTTGGCATCCTTTTCAGGTTGTCGTTGCCGTCTTGGCTTTGGTGGCTAGCGCCACAGCTGCACCAGGATACTTGAGTGGCGCGCATGGCGGCGCTCTTCTGGGTGGCCTGCACTCTGGTCCAGCTCTGTCGTTGGGTCACACCGCACCAGCCCTCTCGTTGGCGCATGCAGCGCCTGCCATCTCTTATGGCCATTCTGCACTCGCTGCTCCAGCAATCTCCTATGCCGCTCCGGCCATTTCGCATGCGCCAGCCATTTCGTATGCCGCCCCAGCCATCACGAAAATTTCTGCTGCACCAATCCTCTCGCATGCCTCCATTGCTGGTCCATCCTTGGGACATGGTTTAGGTCTTGGTTACGGACTAGGACCTGGTCTTGGATTGGGTCATGGTATTGGATTGGGTCATGGTCTTGGATTGGGTCATGGTCTTGCATTGGGTCATGGCTGGTAAATTTGAGTCGCTGTGGAGGAATCGGCGCCGCCTGGATGGGAATCTCTTGTGCTGCTGTTAAGAGTCGTTCCGTTAATGTGTAAATATGTTATGTAGATACGTTGTAATTTTCTTCTTTTCTTATTTCTTTGCCGAGAATCGCAATGAAATCGTTTGTGTATAAATTTCTGCCGCTGAAAATAAAAAAAAAATCTTTAAATGCCTAGTGTTTAAATAGATGTTTTAAATTTCAGGGGTTTCAAAAATGTGCGAAGTTATTTTAAGTGTAAAAGGTATCTTTTGTAAATATGTTCTTAGATTTTGGACCAGCGAAATTATGACGTGATCAAAAGACGTGATCAAAATAGATAAGTATATTGGACTACACTGGCCCACTCATTGAACTTGTGAATTTTTTTTTTGGGATACAGCTGTACAAAACCATCCAGAGGTTATAAAAGAAATCGCGCTGAAATAAATTCGCTTTGTATTATTATTCGCTTTGTATTAATTATTTTCGTCATTGTATTTGAATTCATCTCCGAATTAGGCTTCCTACTCGTAATCGTCTTCATTTAAATGTTCGTAGTCGCGTTCTTCTTCGTATTTATTCTTCGACTATGCTCCTATGCCTCATGGTCCCTAACACAGTGTCGGTACTGTGATTCTTTGATAAGTTCTACATATTCGGTGCATATGAAATCGTACTTGGTTGTTACCGGCTAAGTACGCAGGGAGTAGCCTGATGCAATTTCTGTTTAATAGCGTAATAACCTTTCTATTCAAGATCGCGAACTGTCTATGGCTCCATCACAGCTAGTCAATATTCCCCACATTCAAAGTGAAACCACTCAGCAATTTTGGCCTTACAAGGATAACTAAGGGTCCTTCTCTTGCCAACTTGTCAAAGTCCTCATTGCTCAGGGTTACACATACCAAATTTTTAACTTCCAAGCTCTGAAGCGCCTCAAAGCGTTTGTATTTCATCACCGTGGTTGAGGCGGATCCAAATACCTTGATTTTCTTTTGGTTTACGAAAATTGAGTGAGGAGGATGAGCTCAGTTTTCACCTTATCTGGAAGTCTAACAGTCCTTCTAGAGTTTAGAGAATGAGGGAAGATAGCTTAGTAGGAGTTGGTGCCTTAGATAATGGCGTTATTTTTTTCTACAAAAAAAAGTTGTGCTCTTCCTAGCACGGGTACTTGGCCGAAGAGGCCAATAAAAAGGTAAGCATGTTGAGTAGAAAATAAGACGCCATAAGTCAAGGGGTCTTTAGGAATAAATAACACGAATACATTCCTCAAAGCAAACGGTATGTATGTACATCTAACAATAAGTAGCCCTAAATATATAGACAGATTAGGGAATTTATGATGCCTTCAATACTTCATTGTAGCTGTTTAGGCGCGACTGCTAACACCGAGCATCTAAGCACTGGAACAATCCCACCAATACCAGCTGCTTTTCGGAAGGAACTGTAAGCATTTTAAAAATTAATTTCCAGTCATTTAAAAAGTTACATCAATTAGTACAATATGGGTGTCAATCGAAATGGGTTTGAAAAAACCGTATTTCCGAACCGTATGTAGGAGGATTACATTCTGTTTAAAATATTAAAATCAATTTTAATTAAGGAAATCAGATCAGTGAAATATTTATCACAGTGTGGGTGTCGGACGAGAAAGGTTTAAGAAGGGTTTAGTTAGGATATTTTTTAAATGGAAATGCCACCTGTTTGAAAAGTCGAATGTAATTGAATTATGCAGAACTTAGGTGTGTGAAGCATCACACACAAAGCAAAGGTGAGTTGAAGGGCCTTTAGTTCGAACATTTAGACAATTTTTGTGGTGTGTGAAGAGGGTTGCCACCTGTTTTAAAAGTTAAATTCAAATTAGTTCATAAATAAAATAAATAAATAGTTTTCATAAGGCTTTATTTCGAAACTACATGCAGGAAGGTTGCCGCCTGTTTAAAACATCACATTGAAAGCGCATTAAGGCAATTAGTTTATTAAAATATGTACATATATATGTCAGACGATAGGGGTTTAAGAAGGATTCAGTTTTAAAACACGTAATTGAAAAGTGAAATCTTATGCCAAAAGAAATATTGTTGAAAAATCTTTCGCTTGAACACTTTGAATATTTTTGAGGTGTTAAAAGAGCGTTGCCACCTGTTTACAATTATTCAAATTATTTATTTATAGAAAAATGGGTATCAATCAAAATGGGCTTGAAAATGCTTCTACCCAATTACATATGTGAATTATTGAAATATATCCAATAAGGTTTAATTTTTTGAACTAAGAACTTTTTCAGCGGTCCAGGGTGATCTAAAATTGATATTTTTAAAAGGAAAAATCTACACCATGTGGCACCTATCTTCACTCAGAAACAGCTGGACGGATATAGATGAAATTTGGCACACTGATCGCTCATAACACTGACTACCATGTGGAATATTTTTTAGGTTGCTACCTGATAAAAAAGTTAAATTAATTTTCGGCATTTTAACGCCTTTCGGGTTCACCTACTACTTCAGTACCAATGGGTGAAAAAGAACCTGCGCGGATGACTGTTTTACATATCGTTCTTGAAGGAAGGAGAAGTTGCTTGCATTTGCAATAAAATTCGGTCCAGTTGCGGTACTACCCAGCCAGTAAGAAAACGTACATTTTACGAACATTATATTTTACGAGGGATTCTCGATCGGTAATAAGTTAGATAAAAGCTCGTAAACGATAAAACAAAAAAACTTCATAGAAAGAGCTTTGTAGTAATTTTTCAGCACAAGAAAAAGTTTTCATTTTGTTGGTATGTAATTTATATGCGCATACGAATGCTTTTCCGATCCGTTTACGACTGTGCGTAGGTGATCCACAATTTCAAATGAAAAAGTTCTCGAAAACGAATCGTAACCGGTTATCATAAACGACTTCTTATCCGGGTTTTCTTCAAGAAAATATCCAGTTACGAGCTCCTTTCGCGGCGGAATTGATTTGAAAAATTAACATGTCGATTATATCGGAGATGGTTAGTAACGGAAATGCCGCCTAAATGTATGCTTTAATATTGATACTGAATTAAAGAAAAGAATAAAGATGGAGATAAGGGAGAAAATAAATATATAGATAAGGATAAAGATGATATTAAAGAAAAATAGATAAAAATAAATATATTCGTTTCGTTCACACATCACTTTTTCTTTGTGACATACATACAGTGCATGCATATATATTTTAATTCGTATTTTATTTTGGTTTTTGGCATTTGACATTTGCATTCGTTAAACGAGAATTAGAGTAATCAATAAAAATATGTATATAGTACGTAAATGAACACACTTGCTTACATACATACAAACATACATATGTATGTATGTATGTACTTACTAACGTACAAGATTGTTTGTGATAATTGCATAATTAAATACAAACACATTCAGGCATTTGTACTCCTTTAAATTAGCGCCGTTCAAATTATAATAAAGGTGTTTAATAAATGAGGTTGGGCCACAATCGCAACGTCATGCATACATACTAACAGAGAACACCCCTCAGGCGAATCACTACAGTATTGCTATTTGATTTTCGTTTTTTTTTTCAATTCTCAAATACAATAAATTATGCATTCAAAGTTCGCCGTACACCGCTCTCACCACTCGCTGTCTCTTCTACCAGCCATGTCCGTAACCATAACCATGTCCGTACAGTCCTCCCAACAAGCCATGCCCTCCATAGTATCCATGGCCTCCATACAAGCCATGTCCCAAGCCATAGCCGTAGCCATGTCCGATTGATATGGGCGCAGCGGCGATGGTCTTTGTCACAATTGGCGCCGCTATAGTTTTCGTGATGATGGGTGCGGCTTGAATTTTCGTAATCACTGGCGCTGCGGCAATCGTCTTGGTAATGATAGGCGCTGCGTAGCCATGATCAAAGCCACCATAATGTCCATAACCATAGCCGCCACCATAATGCCCATAACCATAGCCGCCACCATAGTGGCCGCCCAAACCGTATCCACCTAAGCCATAGCCGCCGAGAAATCCTGCGAATGAATTATGCGCGCATGAAAGCAGCGTCAAGCCAAGAATCAACTGTTGGGTGGGTAAGAGAGTTGGTTTTGTTTTTTTTTGTTTTTAGTTTTGCTAACACAAAGCGTACATAGACTTACCGATTTGAACATGTTGAGCAAAGTTAAAGCTTCCAAACGCCAGTGGAGTGATGATTTATCCAATCTTCGATGCACAGCAGGACACCGCCGCCTAATTTCTTATTTCACAAAAGTTATTATCCCGTTTAGAGAGGTTTACGTTTAACGGTCTGGTAAATACTACCAGCTCGCTAAGATCACTTCAGATCACTGTGATTCATCCGTGAAGCGTAAAGCACTTTTTATAGGCGCCAACTCATTATTTAGATCAAAAGCCACATTAGACAATCGTCACCAAAAAA